TGATTACTGTAGGCTTGTAGTATAATTTGAAGTCCAGTAGTGTGATGCCTCCTGCTGTGTTCTTTTTGCTTAGAATTGACTTGGCTATGCGGGCTCTCTTTTGGTTCCATATGAAGTTTAAGGTGGTTTTTTCCAGTTCTGTGAAGAAGGTCATTGGTAGCTTGATGGGGATAGCATTGAGTCTGTAAATTATTTTGGGTGGTATGGCCATTTTTACGATATTGATTCTTCCTAACCATGAACATGGAATATTTCTCCATCTGTTTGTGTCCTCTATTATTTCGTTGAGCAGTGGTTGGTAGTTCTCCTTGAAGAGGTCCCTTACATTCCTTTTTAATTGTATTCCTAGGTATTTTATTCTCTTTGTAGCAATTGTGAATGGCAGTTCGTTCTTAATTTGGCTCTCTTTCAGTCTGTTATTGGTGTATAGGAATGCTTGTGATTTTTGCACATTGATTTTGTATCCCGAGACTTTACTGAAGTTGCTTACCAGTTTCAGGAGATTTTGGGCTGAGGCAATGGGGTCTTCTAGGTATACAATCATGTCATCTACAAATAGAGACAATTTGACTTCCTCCCTTCCTATTTGAATACCCTTTATTTCTTTTTCTTGCCTGATTGCTCTGGCTAGGACTTCCAGTACTATATTGAATAGGAGTGGTGACAGAGGGCATCCTTGTCTAGTGCCAGATTTCAAAGGGAATCCTTCCAGTTTTTGCCCATTCAATATGATATTGGCTGTTGGTTTGTCGTAAATAGCTTTTATTATTTTGAGATACGTTCCATCAATACCGAGTTTATTGAGGGTTTTTAGCATAAAGGGCTGTTGAATTTTGTCAAAGGCCTTCTCTGCATCAATTGAGTAATCATGTGGTTTTTGTTTTTCATTCTGTTTGTGTGGTGAATTAGGTTTATAGACTTGCATATGTTGAACCAGCCTTGCATCCCTGGGATGAATCCTACTTGATCATGGTGGATAAGCTTTTCGATGTGCTATTGCAATCGGCTTGCCAGTATTTTATTGAAGATTTTTGCATCTATGTTCATCATGGATATTGGCTTGAAGTTTTCTTTTCTTGTTGAGTCTCTGCCAGGTGTTGATATCAGGATGATATTGGTCTCATAAAATGATTTGGGAAGGATTCCCTCTTTTTGGATTATTTGGAATAGTTTCAGAAGGAATGGTAACAGTTCCACTTTGTGTGTCTGGTGGAATTTGGCTGTGAACCCATCTGGACGTTGGCTTTTTTTGTGTGGTAGGCTCTTAATTGCTGCCTCAACTTCAGACCTTGTTATTGGTCTATTCATAGTTTTGGCTTCCTCGTGGTTTAGGCTTGGGAGGACACAAGTGTCCAGGAATTTATCCATTTCTTCCAGGTTTACTAGTTTATGTGTATAGAGTTGTTTGTAATATTTTCTGATGATGGTTTGAATTTCTGTGGAGTCTGTGGTGATTTCCCCTTTACAGTTTTTTATTGCATCTATTTGGTTACTCTCTTTTCTTTTTTATCAATCTGGCTAGTGGTCTGTCTATTTTGTTGATCTTTTCAAAAAACCAGCTCTTGGATTTATTGATTATTTGAAGGGTTTTTGTGTCTCTATCTCCTTCAGTTCTGCTCTGATCTTAGTTATTTCTTGTCTTCTGCTAGGTTTTGAGTTTTTTTTATCTTGCTCCTCTAGCTCTTTCAATTTTGACGATAGGGTGTCAATTTTGGATCTCTCCACTTTTCTCATGTGGGCACTTATTGCTATATATTTTCCTCTAGAGACTGCTTTAAATGTGTCCCAGAGATTCTGGTATGTTGTGTCTTTGTACACAGATCCCGGTGCCCTTTCAGCAGGCAACTGAAACACCTGGGAGAGAGTCAACCGTTCAACAACAACAAAAAAAAAAACAAGGGCTCTGAGGCAGGGAGCCAAGTGATCAGGCTCGGCAGGTCTCACCCCCACAAAAACAAACAAAACAGCAATTGGAAACGCTCGGGGTTGAGTTTTACAGCAAGTACAACTGAACCCAAGACAGTGCAGCTCAGTGGGGGAGGGGCGTCCACCATTACCGAGGCATTCCGCCCCTATGGAGGTAATCTCCCATTGCTGACTCAGCCTGCCATTGCCGAGGCAACCCACCATAACAGAGAGAGTCCGCCAATACAGAGGCAGGCCACCATTGCCACTGCAGTTCTAACCACACCCATATAAACAGGACTACAGGGAATTATACTCAGCAGCAGGGCGGAGCCCACAGCAGCAGGGCGGAGCCTCAGCAGGCAGGTAGTGACTAGACTGCCTCCTTGCTGGACAGGACAGTGCAATGGATACTCATAAATAAAGCCCTAACTCCCCAAGACAGAGCACCTGAGGAAAAAAAGGGGCTTTATGAGTTCTGCTGCAGCAGACTTAAACATACCTGCCTAGCAGCCCAGAATGAACAATGGAGCTCACAGCTCAGCACTTTTTTTCTATATTATTTATCTATTTTTCACTCTTCCTATTCTTAGCTTATATTTCTATATATGTATGTGTATATATGTATGTATGTGTATATACATGCAGATAAATAGTCAAGCCTACCATAGGTCTAGTCTATCTAGATTTTGTTATTCTTTTAGACAAATGGCTTTGGGTTTGCTAGTAATACCTTTTGTGGTCTTTTATTAATAACTGATGTTATATTTATTATTCTTTTCAAATTTATTTGTATTAATTCATTTTTATTTTCCAAATTCTTTGAGTTGAGATATTATTCCATTAATTTTACTAATAGTAAATATTTTATTCAACTAATTCAAATGCACAGAAAAGAAATGAAAATATATTTTTGGCGTTTCTTGTTTTCTTCCCATAGGTAGAAAATTTTTCATATCTGAGTAAGGTTATAGAAATGACACTAAATGAATTAAAAATTAGTGATATATATGAAACTAGACTGTTAACAGTGAGCGAAAAGTAGTATTTGTACATTTTTATATACTTTACAAGTTTTTACAGTCATTACCACTTTTTTAAATAACAGATAGTTTGAGATATAATTTACGTACCATAAGATTCACTCTTTTAAAGTGCACAGTTCAGTTTAACTATTACAACTATCTAATTTTAGAACACTTTAATCACCCCAAAGCAAACACCATGAACATTAACAATCACTTCTCATTAATACCTACTCTCAGCCCTGGAAACCAGGGGTCTATTTTCTACCCCTAAAAATTTGCCTATTCTGGACATTTCTTCTAATGTAATCATGCAATATATGTTTTATGATTAGCTTCTTTCACATGGCATAACGTTTTTATTTGTTTTAGCATATACCAGTAATTCTTTTCTTTGTACTGATGAATAATATATCTATCATGTGAATAAATAAAATTTTGTTTACACATCAGTTGATGGGCATATGAATTATTTCCATATTTGGTTATTATGAATGTCGCTGCTGTGAATATTTATGTACAAGTTTTGTGTGAACATGCATTTTTAATTATATTGGGTGTACAACTAGAATTAGAATTTTCTGGATCATATGATAACTCAATATTCAACATTTTAAGGAAGAGCCAAATTATTTTCCAAAGTAACTGCATTTTTCATCATAGCCGACTGGCAGTGAATGAGGGTTCTCATTTTTCTACATCCTTTCCATCAGTTGGGTCATCCATCTTTTTTATTAGAATCATCTTAGTCATTGATTAAGTCTTAGTCTCATAGCTAAGAAACCACTACATAATCAAAGGTCACTAAGGTATATGCCTATGTATTCTTCTTATACTTGTGTAATTTTAGCTCTTCTATTTAGGTCTGTAAATACAGTTTGAGTTAGTTTTTGTCTATGGTATGAGATAAGTTTGAACATAAGTGTAGGAAAAAAATCACCTTTCCAAGAAACAGCGCTGGGAGAACTAGATTTTCACATGCAATTGAATGATATCTGAGCCTATCTCATACCATATACAAAAATTAATTCAAACTGTATCAAAGACTAACATTAGAGCTAATCCAAAATTAGGTATTTTTTCTTTTAAACAACTGTTTATCCAACACAAACATTTTCTTTATTTTAAACATGCTAAGTCCTGGATATTACATTTTAAGAGTATTTGTTTTATTGGGAGCTATTTGGAACTATTCTGTACCTGTTTTTGATATATTGTTTCAGTTAGCTCTGCTCACAATAATGTCATACAGCAAAGACAATACTGTGCAATAAATAACTGCAATATCTAAGTGATCACAATATACATCAGTATGTCTCACAGTAATTAATGTAGGGTTTGATACATTTTTGAAGTAAGAACATAATTTTAGTAACTTTCAGATATTGAAACATTCTTTTAGGCACACACACAAAAATACTAAAATAAACTTTTATTTCATATCCATTTTCAAAGCTTCTTTCCTTTCTCCCTACTCAGACCTGTTTCAGGCTACAAAGGTCTGTGAGGAATGATAGAGTTATGATGTTTTTGGACTCTGCAGAAAGCTGCCGTCTTGTCTCTTATGGGAAGCACTCCCTAACTATAAGTCCAACAACTACAGAAATCTTTTTTTGTTGTTGGATATTTCTCCTCTATGGATCTGTAAGTATGGGATAGTTCGCTCAGAGTAGCAAAGTTAGTTTTAGCCAATTTTTAGCAATTCCTATGGTGATGTTTCTGAGCTTTAAGCTGTCAGCTGAAATTCTAAAACAAAACAAAACAAAACAAAAAATCATAAAATCTCCCATTTTGTCTTTGTATGGCAATAATTCTTCTATTCTTTCATCAGTATCAGGTGTATGTAAATCCAAGGAATAAAAACTCTCTAATAGCTATTCTAATGAATACACATAAACCTAAGTTTTGCAAGTTTCTGTTAAATTTTGGATTAAAAGAAATTGCTGTTTTAAGAGAGAGAATCCTATAATAAATTATACTTTTAAATAATATATTTCAATCCCTAGCATTTTATTCCACTTACTAGAGTTTATATTTTCATAAGCCTATTAAAAACAAATTTAATTTCAGATCCTTTTGAAGCATTCATCATCTTTTCTATTCGTCATGAGATCAGAAGGATTGATCTTCACAAAAGAGACTATAGTCTACTTGTTCCTGGATTGAGAAACACAATAGCACTTGATTTTCACTTCAATCAAAGTTTACTTTATTGGACAGATGTTGTAGAAGACAGAATATACCGGGGAAAACTTTCTGAAAGTGGAGGTACATATGTTATAATTTTTCTTAATGTTTAGATTACTTTTTTAAGTGAAAATTTGAAGAACACATTAGAAGAAATTTTGATTATTCTTTGACCTTGGGTTTTTTTCATCCCCTCCCTCATATATGTAAAATTAGGGGTGTTGAGCATCTGTTGGGGGCAGGAAGTGGTGATGCTTGTGCTGTGCACACCATTTTCAATAGTGGACTTTTCCCTAGGCCCATGGCAAAAAAAATTATTTACACGAGAGAAAAAAAAATAAAAAGTCTGGGTGTTACATGCTAGTAGTCACAGTAGTCACATTTTAAGGAGTTAAAATAACTTTTTAAATTTTGCTATCATCTTTCAACATAATTCAAAAAATAATGAAAAGTATTGCTGAGACTACTAATAGGAGCTAAATGTTTTTGCCATAATTTGACTTACCTCGTTTGGCTAAACGAATCCTTTCTTAAGTCGAAAGTATTTGACATAAATAGCCAGTGTGGTGGCTTGCGCCTATAATCCCAGCACTGCGGAAGACTGAGGTGGGTGGTCACTTGAGGTCAGGAGCTCAAGACCACCTGGCCAATATGGTGAAACCCCATCTCTACTAAAAATTAGCTGGGCATGGTAGCACATGCCTGTAATCCCAGCTAGTCTGGAGGCTGAGGCAGGAAAATTCCTGGAACCTGGGAGGTGGAGGTTGCAGTAAACCAAGATTGTGCCATTGCACTGCAGCCTGGGCTACAATGAGACTCCACCTAAAAAAAAAAAAGAAAAAAAGAAAGAAAGAAAAGAAAAGAAAAAGTTTTTGACATAAATACATATTTCTCTTGAAATGTTGTATCCACGTACCATTCCAAGGGTAAGGTAACTCTGTCAAATTGAAATTGTTAATTCCATTCTAAATCACCTTAGCAATTTTGAAGAATGGTCATATTAGAGCACATCATATAATATGTGAACTTGTGTCCTATGTCATATATTGATTTAAAAAGATAGATTTAGATTCATAGGATTAATTGGTTAGCTATTTCATAAACACACTGTTAATGTCTAACAAAAAGCACCACTGTGGTAGCAATGTTACAAACTACAATGATTTATCTTATTAGAAAATGTGTTTAAAAGATGAATGTTTTGGCTGGGCAGCACAGTGGCTCATGCTTGCAATCCCAGCACTTTGGGAAGCTGAAGTGGGCAGATGCTTAAGCCCATGAGTTTGAGACCAGCCTGGGCAACATGGCAAAACTCTATCTCTACTAAAAATACAAAGAATTAGCCAAGCATGGTTGTGTGCACCTATAGTCCCAGCTACTCAGGAGGCTGAAGTAGGAGACTCATATGAGCCCTGGAAGTTGAGGCTGCAGTGAGCCATAATCACACCATTGCACTCCAGCCTAAGCTGTAGAAGTGAGGCCCTATCTTATAAAAAAAAAAAAAAAAGATTTTTTTTTAATTGTGAAAGAAATTAAGTAGTGGATAAATAAGTATATGGGTAGACATAATCAAATTGCTTAAATTTATTCCGACCTTTTTCTCTCATTTACATTTTTATTGTATCTTGCAAGTCTTATGGTTCCGGGTGTGGAAGGGGCTAATCTGGGGCTTATCTTTGTTAAGGGCAATTATAGTAGTAGCTGTTATCTGTCACACCTCCCAAAAGACAAAAAGAAAAAGTGGGTGCTAATTAGTCATAATGCATATTAGCTCTGGTGGGCTTTTTCATTTTATTTTATTCTAACCTTGAATATCACCATTTGAGTTAAGTTGCACAGATTTTAACCAGAGTAAAATTATTGTTTCCAAAATCCCTTGCTCTGTATAAAAAAGTCAAAAACAGGAAATAACTTTTTTGCAATCTCAATGTTGTTATTAGCCTCAGAACTGTTTAAAAATGTATTCCACTGATACTGAAAGGACTTACTAGATTAAAGATTTCTGGTAAGGAAGATCGGTTTCATCTGTGGTAAATAACACATTTGCATTCTCTCAAAGTTGAAATCACATTGAAATAATTTGTACTGCTGATAACAGGGAGGCCTTTTCCTTTGTGCTTAACACATTCCTTGAATGGGTGCACATGTTGATTTCCCTTCTTTTGTAGGTGTCAGTGCCATTGAAGTGGTTGTGGAGCATGGCCTGGCTACTCCAGAAGGCCTGACAGTTGACTGGATAGCAGGAAACATATACTGGATAGACAGTAATCTGGACCAAATTGAAGTGGCCAAACTAGACGGCTCCCTAAGAACTACACTAATAGCAGGAGCCATGGAACACCCAAGGGCCATTGCTTTGGACCCAAGATATGGGTAAAGAAGTTTACCTTTTACAGATTGAGTTTGGCATAAAAAATAGTCTTTCAATTTAATATTGAATTTAATTATGTCATCAGTTATGAGTTGAAGTGTTTTTTTGTGCCTATGTATGTGTAAATGTGTATGGGGGAGTGGGTGTGGGTGTGTGAGTTGTGTATATAGCAACAAGTTCACATTGAAGATCACAAGTTTGGTTATAGGATTGCTTACATAGGTACTTTTAGAGGCTCAAAATGTCTTTTTTTTAAAAAAAAAATATGGGCATTAGGCCCTATTGGAAGCTATTGCAAATCTTTTTCAAAGCAGTAATTTAATGAATTTCTCTTTGCCCTGCCAAAGAGATGCTGTAATTGTTTCTAATGGTTGCAAACTACAGGGCCAGTCTTTCTTCTAAACAGTCACAGATGTTAACCACCTCACCCATTATTTATTTTTTATGTTCTTGGAGTCACTTTAAAAGAAAATTTAAATAAGCTTGAAGGAGTCCAGTGGTGAGATATTGACTGTTGGGAAGTTTGAAAGACAAAGCATATGATTCTGGAAAACAAGGTTCAATGTTGAGTGACTCAGGTTACTTCCCCGCTTCCTTTGTGTATTCCTTTGTAAAGGAGCAGAAGAGAGGCACTGGCTTTCCAGCCAGAAGATGTGGGTTCCTGTTCTTGCCCAGTCACTTATACTCTGGTGATATCAAGTGTATTATTTTCCCTTAGATTTCAGTTTTTTATTCTATGAATTGGGGATAATATAATAGTATCTTCCTCCTTCAGTTGTTTCTAAGGAGATGATATACATGGGAGATAATATGCAACTGATATATGAGAATGCTTTGTTTTTCCTGTCAATGATGACCTTTGTAATGGTTTTGTAAATCAAAAGCCATTGTCAAGTCTAAAGGCTAGCAGAAAGGAATTTTTTGGGAGGCGTGTACCTTTAAGTATTATCAAGTCCAGGGAATACCAAGGAGTGCTCCAATGAGAGGGGAGCTCCAGTGAGAAGGCAGTGAGCCAAGAGGTAGTTGGATGAGATACAGAAGAGAAAAAAGACAGCCTACTAAGTCACTCTCCTGAACACACTCTCTGACTTTTGTTCTTGTCTGTGGCTAAAACTCAGATGTTAATAGATTGAATAGCATGTTTACGTCTCTTTTCCTCAATTTTGTCTCAAAAATACAAGGGGCAAAAAGCACTTGTCTAGAGGAGGGTTCCAAATTGGCAAACATCATTTATGTGTTTGCTTTATTTTCCACAGGGTTTTAAATTTACTTGAATTAGTTGTCAAATTTTTAAATATTGAGAGATTTTTACATAAAACTCTGGTTTCTGCCTTCTTTTGTCAAATAGGAGGATCTGATAACAATGAGCTGAATAGTAGCTGTTTCTCTTTGCCTGGAAGTGTATTCTCTAGGTTAGGCAGTCTACATGTTACCTATTTCACTCATTACTTTCTGTAATAACAATTTACCAGGAAGGAGCCTGCTATGTTTGATAAGATGTGCCTTTATTTTTCTACATTTCATTCCTGAGGTACAAGTAGATTGCTGATACTGACCCTATACTTCCCACAAATATGCTAGCTCATTATCAGATGGGGACTTCTCTCCAGTTCCAATTACTGATGTAAAGGTTTTACCTATCATACCTAAGTTGTGCCAGCATGAGAAACTTCCTGAATAAAATAAATGTAATATTTTGGAAAAGATTGTAGTCCTAGCATGTGTACCAACATGAGAAGAAAAGTATGAATAATTCCAAAATTATAAATGACACAGAGAGAAAACAAGTAAACAAGCAAACAAAACCGGCGTTTGAAAGTTTAAAAATAGTCTCACCAAACAAGATAGATTTTATAGTTGATGCTTAATTTTCTACTGATATTATATTGACAATGCTAGGATCAAGTTATTTATGTCAGTTTTGAAAATATCCAACCTGAGAGTAAATACAGAAAACAAAAACACAAAGGACATACAATCTAAAAATACTATTTAAGTGAAAATACCAAATACTATTTCAGTGTGAAATATCCTCAAAGAGTTGAAAGTTGCTACTGAAAGCTAGCCTGAAAGAGGGGAAATGCAAAAATGCTTCTGGGAGAGTTGATACCTTCCATCACAAATTGCTGCTATAAAACTGAGGCCAATTAAGATGATTACAGTGGTAATAAAATAATATCTAAAAATAGGGTAACAAAGTAATGCTTATACAATTGTTTCTAGCATAAATGACCAGATTTTGGGTAAAAGACTAGTTAATTAAACTCTATGTATTAATTGGAAGGTTAACAGATTTTTGTTATGATTTAATAGGCTTTTTATTGTTAAAAGTTATGTTACAGAGGTTGATATGATTAAGATATCATATATAAACATCATAAAGCACATTTTAATATATAAATTTTTAGATTTAAAAATGTAATGTGAATATTAAAATATTTTCAAGCTTATTGGATGTTTTAGTAAAAAGTTTTGAGATTAGTTTAATATCGGACCTGTCACAAGGTAGGCTTAGAACATAGCAACAATAAGCGCGCGCGCACACACACACGCACACACACACTCTTAAAGCAAAGCCAAGCCAAGCACAAGAAAAGTGTATTAAAATACAATTTTACTTAAACTCAGCTTACTGTCTTAGTGGTATGTACAATATAAACATAAGATTTTCCCTAATTTCTCAAACTATTAATAAAATATATAAGGAAGCTGAGAGTCAGCATTGATATGAGCTTCAAAGTAATGTAAGCTTCTTTTGAAATTTTTATTTTAGATAAAATCCACTAATTATTGAGAAATATGATTTATATGAATACTGTGACATTTTCTACTAAATCTTAAGCTTTTTGATGGCAAGGGAAGTTGTTTTCAGTCTGTAAAATCTTTCTAAACCCCTTAGAATATATATTTGTGCTCAATAAATGAATGCATGCATATAAATGGGCTGTGCTTTTATGCAACTTATAGGAACTTGAGAATATATTTAAAATGCAAACCATATAGTAAAGGCCAGACAGCTAATGGGTACAACTATAGACTTTGTTTACAATAACAAATGAAAAGAAAGGTTTGCAAATAACCACTTTTCTCCCTTAGAACAGCCGAAAAAAGCAACAGGCCTTAACACTAGCTCCACAAAACACATTTACTTCATATGAAGTTTCTATAGCAATCAAGGTCTTTGTGACCTTTTTTTTTTTTTAAAGATGCCAATATGAAGTGTTTCTAATTGACTACTTTGCTTCCCCAGAATAAAATCCACCAACTTTCACCTTGCATTATAAAACATATCTGTCATCATGCCATATTCCTTCAGTATTCTGGATTTTGATCTGGTGTCCCAAGTGACAAACTATTTCAAGATGGTAAATTGAGAGTCTTAGGGTGGAGCCATTTTTCTTTCATTCCATTTTAAGGTAATGCACTTATTGCTAAGGTGACCTGAAAGAGTCCATGAATCCCCTTTTAAACATCAAGCTTATTATTAGAAAGTAATAAGCACCAGAGAGTGCAGAATCTACAAGGTACTCATTTCAGTTCTTGAACTCTCATTGCCTTTATTTTTGTGCTACTGCATGGCATCTTCCTGCTCTATTGCTAAAGCTAGTATTTAGTTTTCCTTTGTCGTAATAACTGAACTGTTATCACTATAGAAGTACACTAACACTGCTAGGTTTAGTGAAGAAATAAAGGGATCACGTATTTTAGTGAGTCAAAGTATCCCAAACCATACTTTTCTCCCACTAGACAACTGTTTCAGAGTCCACAGTGCCTATTTCTAGTAAATATAAATATAGAGAATGTAGAATTGCAGGGTTACTGATACATAGCTGGATTCTCCACAACTGTAAGAAGCTTAACTGGATAAAGCATTTCAAGGTAGACACCAATTTCCCAGTTGTTATACAGGCAAAAGATAATGCATCAGAAGTCTTTGTGTTATCATGCAGAGTGTGAAGTATAGCCTTATCTACGTCTAGTGGTGGCTTCTCCACAAATACTCACATACTGCCTATAACTTGCAATTCATGGTTTGTTTTCAAGAATCTTTCTCTTTCTTTCTTTCTTTCTTTCTTTCTTTCTTTCTTTCTTTCTTTTTCTTTCTTTCTTTCTTTCTTTCTTTCTTCCTTTCTTTCTTTCCTCTTCTTTTTTGTTTGTTTCTCTTTTTTTTGTGGTTTTTTGAGACAGTCTTGCTCTGTTACCTAGGCTGGAATACAGTGGCAACATCTCAGCTCACTGCAAACTCCGCCTAGCAGGTTCAAGCCATTCTCCTGCCTCAGCCTCCAAGTAGCTGAGATTAAAAGTGCATGCCACCACGGCCCGTTAATTTTTGTATTTTTAGTAGTGATAGGGCTTCACCATGTTGGCCAGGCTGGTCTTGAACTCCTGACCTCATGTGATTTGCCTGCCTCAGCCTCCCACATTGCTGGGATTACAGGCATGAGCCACCATGCCCACACTTTTTTTTTAAGCTTTCAAATCTCTCTACTGACCTGTGTTTGTGGAGATAACACTACAAATTAGATTAATGTTATGTTTGTATTCTTTCTATTGAAATATTTTTGTTTTTAATGCTAAGTTTAAAAGCAGCTGACAAATAACAACCTGTTGTCAATGAAAGATGTGTGAACTCAAAATTTAATTGAATTGAGACACATAATCTATTTCCTATTCATTATTTTCAAGAAAGGCATTTTATTATTTAAATAGCCTATCAACTTATATTAACCTTTGTTCCATTTTCTATTTAACTGGCAGCATATTATTTTGTAATTAATTTTGCTTATAAATAATTTCATGCTAATTTTCCAGATAATTAATACTTTTTATACAAAACAATCATCTTTAAACTTAATATTTTTTTGGAAGATAAGCCCCAAAACTGAAATTTTCTAAATGTCATCTGGTACATTTAAAAAAAATTGTATCTACTTATTTGAGTTATTTACACTTTTAAACTTTTATTATAGAAATATTAAAATACTCAAACTAGAAGGAATTG